GTTAATAACTTTAAATAAGATTAAAGATGGTGAGATGTTTCTCTATTGAAATATGAAATTTTATGTATAAATATAATAAATTATCTTTTATAAGCTAGTGACGTTGCCCTTAAATCTTTAACTATGGCTCCAACGGATAGGAAACATTCTTCATCAGACCTAGCTATCCCGATTGCATGCAGGCAATCTGATTCCAGCATCACCTCCTGATAGCAAGTTATCTTCGCAATTGCAGACCAACTATTAAAGCTCAGTTGGGACTTTTCCGCAAGAAGAACCGAACTATAAAATGTTAGTCTTGTATCCTTTTTAACTCCTCTTGTAAATTGCGAGTTTTATGATAGACATATTTCCAAACTTGTTGAAACTCCAGTCATTTAGCATAGATCCATATTTACCAATTAATCCAATTTATCACCTTGTCCAGCTATTATATCCCTCAGCATCTGTCCTCCCTTGACGAATGATTTCCTCACACTCCTCTTTTAGCTAGTAATTCTCAAATCAAAAGGATTTTGTTCTCCTCACTTCGGTCGTTCCCCTCCTAGTTACAGCTTTAACTAGTATAAAGTGGTCTAATCTCACAACTGGTACATGATGGGAGACAGCTCTTGGAAACAATTCCCACCACTTCCTAGTCATTAAAGTCCTGTGAAGTCTCTCTCTTAGTATCTTCCCTATTAGATTTTCCGATAAAGTAAACGGTAGCCCCTTAAATTTCAGTTCTGCTAACTCACAGTGGTCTCCACAGAAGCTTCCATTTTGTTTGAGAGGTCTAGGGTCTCCTCCTTCCCTCTCTGACTGGTTAAGAATCTCATTGAAATCGACTAGGCAACGCACAGAAGAGTAGATGCACTCTTTAAGGATTTTAGAGGTGCCCAGGATTCACTGCGGTGGCTGGTGTCTGGATGCTCATAAAATCCAGTTAGGCCACCGCTTTTGCTAATGGTATCAACTGCGAAATGGTGAAAAAATCCCAAACTCAATCTAAAAATCCTCTTAATCTCCGTTCAATTGCGCTTTGTTTCCGAGGGAAAGATGATTTGAGGTTTCTGCTGTTTTATACGTTTCTTGAGTATTGAAACCGTTGAGACATCCCTAATCCTCGACAGTTCCATGCCAAAATACTGATTTCAGACATGATGACTTTTAAAAGGTTGTGACACATAAAATAGTTTTATTGAGGCATTAATCAAAGGGTGTCCACCAAGTTGACTTTTTTCCTTCTGATCTACACTTCTCTTCCGTACTGTTTGGATTGAGGGAAACCGATGGAGAGGGATGGGGAGTGAAGGGGATGGATGGTAATTGAGGGAGAGGGAGGGGAGGCTGTCTCCTCCCTTATGTTTGGATAAGTAAAAAGCAGGAAGGGGAAGGAGATGGAGGAGGTTTGGATCCCCTCAACAACCCCCGACAACTGCAAATTTCCAATCCCTCTAATTTGAGGGGTTTGGGATGGATTTGGCGAAGGCTCAGATTTTTCCAACAAAAATTACCATAATATCCTCTTTACTCTTATTATTTAACATCCTTTGGTTCTTCTTCTACCTGGTTATCAACATCACCAGCAACTAAATTCAAGGTAAGGATACCACCAACTCAACTTCAATTTTGATTATTTTTGAGCTTTCACCATTCTCTCACCGGCTTTGACCATTTTTAATTTACAGTATAGCATCCAAAATTGAAAATGAAGTTGAATTAGAAAATGGAATTGCTAGCATTCTAGCTCGCTCTTGCTCTCACTCTCTCTTTTGAAAACGAAAACAAGGAATTAGCTATTTTGATTCATAGGTATTTATCTCATTTTTGTTTCCTGTTTTCAATTATGTTTCCCTTTAACTTCCTCTATGACAGTTGATTAGAAAATGCTATTTTGTTTCATATTCACCATTTAACTCTGTGATCCTTCCATTAGAGGTTTGTATTGTTTTCTATGTGATTGGATTGTGTTTTGGCTTCACAGTATTCTATACACCTAAAGCTTTCCAATGCA